CAACCACGACATTTGCACAGGAGCAAAGTTCCTAGTGCAGGAAAGAGCAAGATGGAAAGACAGACGGAAATAGGGAGGCCAGGGAGGGAGGGAGAAGAACTATTTCACTTGGGAATTGTCATAAAGCAAAATGTGATAAATTGTCGATGTGTACCCTGTAAATTTTGAATTAGGTGTATGGGGGGGGGGATGGGAAACCAATCACATGTATAACGGCCCCCCACCCCGGGGGACAAACAACAGAAGCATGGAGACACGGACAGTGTAAGATATGAAAATAATAATATATCATTTATCAAGGGTTCATCAGTGTGGGGGGGTGGGGGAAGGAGGGGAAAAAGAGTTGATATCAAGGGTTCAAGTAGAAAGAAAATGTTTTGAAAATGATGGTGGTAACATATGTATAAATGTATTTGATACAATTGATGTATGGATTGTTAAACAAGCTGTAAGAGCCCCCCCAAAAATGATTTTTTTAAAAAGAATTAGGTATATGTTTTGTTGAGTATATGTTTTGTCAATGACAACAAAATAAATACAACTAGGGGGAGGGATCCTCCATGAATTCCCTTTATTTCTTAATATCTTCTTCTTACATGAGTCTTGTGTCCTCTCTTATCTGAGAAGATCTAAATCAGACACGCAAAGAAACCTAAAATGGCTGAAGTAAGGAGTGTCATTTCCCCAAATTAAACAAATCCACCACCACCTACATATGACTTTACCTAAACAGCATTAGCCAAACTCCAAGTTCTTTCAGAAGTTACAACTAAAGCTATTTCTCTTAATAGGACATTAAAGTTAGTAGAGTCCATGAATCCTTCAGAGCAATATAGCACTGACAGGAAAAATAAATAAATAAAAAGGAAGGGGTACGTTTCAGGGCTGAACCTTGAATAAGCTACTGAAAATACTTACACACAGTTCTAAATATGTCAAGAAGTGCTATACAGAATCCTAAAGATTGGTTTTTGAATTTTTAAATCTTTACAAAAGCAGGCAGCCTCATCTTTCTCCTGAAGAGTGGTTGGTGGGTTTGAACCAGTGAACTTTCAATTAGCAAATTCAACACTAGCCACAGTACTACCTTCCTAATATACAAAGGGGCTTCAAAGAGTGTGTGAAATAAATGGAATTAAAAATTAATCTGATAATTTGAAGCCCCTTGTATATCTTGTAGTAAAATATACATAATAATGTGCCATTTTAACATAAATGCCCAGGTGAGAGCTTTTAAAATGTGGATTCTGTTCTAGTGTATCTGGAATGGAAATGTAATCTCTCAGCAGGGTGTCAAACCAGAAAGAACTGGTTCTAAATCTTTCCCTACCAACTACCCTGTAAAGAAGCAAGGTGAGCAAACTCCACCTGTATCACTATGTAGCAAAGATCGGCATGAATCCAATTCCCACTGGGAAACGGATCCAGCCTTCACCTTCCCACACTTCCTGTGGCAAATATTCCCTCAGATCTTAACCACCCAGAGCACTATCAGCCCCCAACTTTTCTGCTCTGGGTCACAACATGCCTGGCCACCTGAGGGGAAGTCCCTGGGGAGCAGTCACAAGCCCAACGCCCTGGACTTCAGCCCAGCTGAGCTGCCTCTCTTTCACTTTCTCTTTCTATCTTAATCCCCGGGACCCAGCTGAGCTGGAAGGAGGCCTTCCTCAACTACCGTTCCTATCACCCAGAGCTGGGTCTACACACACAGACCCACTCCTTACTGCCAGTCCATGCTGGCCCATTGCCCTTGTGAGCTCATTAATTCTCTAGAATGGCTGGCAAAATCAACAAACTACTGGCCCACTATGGAGTGGTGGCGGTACATGTTGGCTGTGATCGGCAAGGTCTGCAGCTTGAAACTGCCGTGCACCCTCAAAAGAAAGGCAGGGTTTTCTACTCCACTACTCCTGTAAAGAGTTACCGTCTCGTCGTCCCCAGAGGGGGACGAACAACACAAACGTGGGTGAAGGGAGACAGCAGTAAAAACAAAAAGAGTTACAGTCTCAGAAGGCCACTGGACAGCTCTACCCTTTCCGATAGGGTCGCCATGAATCAGAATTGACTCCTCCACAAGTTTGGGGTTTTGGCATTAACCCACTCCCCTCAAGTCTGTTCTGATTCATGGTGCCCCTATGCGGCAGAGCAAGTACCAAGGCCGTAAGTCTTTGAGGAAGCAGACTACCACATCTTTCTCCCACACTGCAAGTGGTAGGTTTGAACTACTGACCTTCCGGTTAGCCGGCAAGCACTTCAACCACTCTTAACACCAGGAATCTTTCAGAAACTATTACCTACACTTGTGGTCTTGGCAAAGAATACTGAATATACCATGAGCAAGCTGTTAGAAGAACAAACAAATCTGTATTGGAAGAAGCAGACAGAACGACCCTGAGACTTTGTCTCCTGTACTCTGGACAAGCTATCAAGAGAGACCAACCCTACAGGAGGACATCACACTGAGGAACGGTGAAGGTTCAGTGAACAAGACTCTTAAGATGAATTGACCACGGGACAGCAACGCTGGGCTCAAACACAGAAGCAACAATTGGGAGGCTGGCTCAGGATGGCAGTGTTGCCCTCTGTTGGGCATACGGTCGCTTTGAGTTAGGACCAATGTGACAGCACCCACCACCACCACCCACACTTACCAAACCAAGCAAAATCCACTGCCATCCACTCGACTCCAACCCCTTAGCTACCAAAGCAGGGCAGAGCAGATCTAAAACTGCTTCTTGGGGTTTCTGAGACTGTAAATCTTTACAGAAGCAGACAGCCTCAGCTTCTTCCTCAAAGTGGCTGGTGGATTTGAGCCAATGCCTATGAAGTGATCAACTTAGCCCACAGTGCCACCAGGACTTATAATGACCCATTTACTGCACCTAGAAAGGATATAAGCAGAGAGACACAGCAGACAAAGCTTGGGAGAGGTCCCAGTCTGAGGGCTCCATTGTCCCCAGACATGTTCATCCTCTCCCCTGCATCGATATCCTCACCCATCCATAAGTCACCCAAAAGGGAGATCCAAGGTTCCGAATCCCCAAGTCATTGGAAACTCACTAAACATGCTCTGTTGGACCAAGTGCCGTCCCTTCCTGAAGTTAGTTTGGTTTGCCAAGTGTGAGGCTTGCTAGCCCCCACTTAGTTGGCTATTTTAGAAAGACAACGAGAATCTTAACTGTTCAGGCTACTTTCAGAAACAGATACAAAAGGTCAGCACAGTTCTTTGTCCCATACAACCTTTCATATACAGAGGGTCTTGGGGGGCGGAATAAAAGATAATGAAATTTTCCCACAAATTTTCTAAAGCTCCCAGGTATTACCCACTGTCATTCACCTTACATTGTTTTTGTCTTGTTTTCCCAAAAGATTGTGAGGTCCTTAAGGGCAGAGTCCACATATCCTTCCGTACCACCTAGCAGAAACACTTACATGCACACAGAAAGCATTCAGATATATTAGACTTCAATTTAAAGTTAGTGCAGCTAAACCAGACTGGGGAAAAGATCAAAAATGCTCCTTTACACTGTTGAAGTGATCGAACTATGGATTGTTACGCTATCTGTAAGCACTCACAATAAAATGACTTTTTAAAAATCTCCTTCAGTCTCCTAATCAAGGAATAGGGGAAGGGAAAAGAAACAACACCTAAAAAGTCCTTCAAATTAATCTTCTCCCAAAATCATTTTGAACTTACCATCTTCAGTTGGTAAGAAGAAAAGATATACAATAAATGGTGGGGCTTTTGACTAAGTTCTTTCATTCTTAAAAGCTAGGCCCAGAAGAGCTTAAGGCCGCAATGTTCAATGAGACAGCACAGTCAAGGCAATGTCACCGGTCACACACATACTGATTCCCTTTGCAGTGAGATCTCAGAAGGCTCTGGTGTCCGCTGGGGAGTGGGAGGGGGTGGGAGTTGTTGAAAACAGACACCTGACCTTTCCAGCACTGAAATAAAGCAAAAACTCATACTCCAAAACTCACTAAGTCAATTCTGACTTAGAGCAACCCTATAGGGCAGGGTAGAACTGCTTCCTGTGGGTTTCTGAAACTGTAACTCTTTTATCAGAAATAGCTTCCTTTCTCCCAAACTCATACACACATAGCCAAATCAGAAACCAAAAGCATGTAGCAATGGGATGGAATTGTGACAATAAAGCCGACGTAAGCAAATAGAAAAAAAGGTGCTAGAAACGCTTGAAAAGCACAACTTGTACATGAAAGGCAATACTAGCCTTTAGGCATTTATTCTTTGTACTCTTGTTTGCTTCCAGGAAATAAAAAGCCACACTTCAGCAGGCTTTCTCGTCGATTGGATCTGAGATACTATAAATATAGCAGTAACTTGGGTAGCCACCCCGTCTGCAGACTGAACCTAGAGACGTCTAAGGAAAAGAGCCACCATAAGTAATTCTAAAGGTTTAACATTCACCCAGGTTTGGGTGCTAGAGCTGATGAGCATGCCACAGAAGCGTCCCCCTCCCCCCAATTCCACACCCCAACCACCAGCGAGTTACCTCGCTTAGGGAGCTAAAAGACACTTGGCAGAAACCGTAAGGACGCAGGCCCCAACATTTCTGCCTTGAATCTTTTTTGGTTTTTCTTCCTTTGAAAATAAAGGAAGTGGGTAAGGAAGGGTACACTGGCAACATGAAACCAAAATAAACCAAGTGGCAACCGTGTGTCCAGCCTGCCTCCTCCTTAAAGCCATTTTCTAGAATGATAGGGCGCTCGGGGGCTGTCTGCTGTTTACAGCATCACCAAACCCTGGAAGCCAGTGAGAGCAAAATCCCTCCCTTTCCTACGGTTACTTTCCCATCCTCCCTTTGCGTCCTTCCTTCCTTCCTTCCCTCCCTCCCTCCGGCCAGCCCAACGGAGACGGTCCTCGGCAATCCGCTGTTCACCAGGGAGGGAGGTGGGGGGCCTCGGGGAAGTGGGGAAGGAAATAGGGGGTGGTGAGGTGCCAAAGCGGAAAGAGAATGGGGCGGCGGAAGAGAGGTCATCCTGGGAAGGCGACAAGGTGAAGAGGGGCGCAGGAAAAGTGGGGGAAGAGTTGTCACCGGAGAACTTACGAAGGAAGACACAAAGGCGGGGGGGGGG